ATATTGCAATTACTACTACAGTGCATGTAGAAGAAAGGGTTAGCCCTGGAGCCCTTAGTCACACAAAACCACATTGATATTACCTCACAGTGAGGGCTTGTAGGAATTATGATCTGTGAGAATTACTCTTGAGAACCAATTATACAAGAGACTATTTCTATGGTAGCCTACACACTTTCATCTTCCAATGTAGAAACAGGCTGATTTATGAACCTTGTACAGACCTGTTGAAACCTATTTGTGTTCCCCTGGTTGAATGCTGAATCACTGCCCTAACATAATAGAAATCTTGGCTACTATGCAACATTTACCCGTTTTAGATGTGTATCTCCTATAACAGATATTTTTTAGACACACCTAACAACTATTTTTTGACTGTGCTGCAAACCAGGTTTTGCTGTTTGGCTTATACATTTTTCCTGCAAATCACAGAATGCTGTATTTATAAAATAACCTGTACTTCACACAATCACTGCTCTCAGTAATATGGTAAATTAACTATTTGACTTGAAATGCATTTTAAAGATTTCAGTGCATTTGAAAAATATTTATGCTCATACTGTGTATTTCTCGATACTTTCCATAGCTACCAGTTATCCATTGAAATGCTAGCAAATGGGGAAGGGACATACAATAAGTTTCGTAACATTAAACGTGTATAATTTTATGTGCAATTCCTTCCACTCTTCCCTCCCTCATCCCCCCCCCCCCAACTTTTAATTATGACTCTTATCAAGTTTGTAATGTGACTTGTCCTTAAAAATATTGTCTTCAACAAAGCTGTGCCAGTTTACAGGAGCTGATGATCCAGCCCATGGGTGATTCATTATAGAATCATAGAATGGTTTGGATTGGAAAGGACCTGAAAGATCATCTAGTTCCAACCCCCTGCCGTGGGCAAGGATGCCTCACTCTAGACCATGTTGCATAAGGCCCATCCAACCTCGCCTTGAACAGTGCCAGAGATGAAGCGTTTACCACTTGTCTGGGCAATCTGTGCCAGCACCTCAGCACCCTCACAGGGAAGAACTTCTTCCTTAGATCTAACCTGAACTTCCCCTGTTTCAGTTTGAACCCATCACCCTTTGTCTTATTGCTACAGCCCCTAGTGAAGAGTCTCTCTCCAGCATCCTTGCAGCCCCCTTCAGATAAGATCCATCCTATTTTGAGATTTGAGATTGAAGGCATTTTTGAGGTGTTCGAGTTCATTAAAATCCAATGGCTGAGATGGTATTGAGGCTTAACTTAGCTTTATTGTTCTTATAATTCATAAAACTACATTTTTTTTACCCATGGAACACTGCCCTGCCTTCACACTGACCAGCTTATTTCATGTCTAATCGGCACTATTTGCAGATCAATTTTAGAATTGTAGAATAGTTAGGGTTGGAAAGGACCTTAAGATCCTCTAGTTCCAACTCCTGTGCCATGGGCACAGACACCTCCCACTAAACCATGCCACCCAAGGCTCTGTCCAACCTGGCCTTGAACACTGCCAGGGATGGAGCATTCACAGCTTCCCTGGGCAACCCATTGCCTCACCACCCTTACAGTAAAGAACTTCCTCCTTATATCCAATCTAAACTTCCCCTGTTTAAGTTTTAACCCATTATCTTTTGTCCTATCACTGCAGTCCCTAATGAAGTCCTTCCCCAGCATCCTTATAAGCCCTCTGCAGGTACTGGAAGCTGCTCTGAGGTCTCCACGCAGCCTTCTCCAGGCTGAACAGCCCCACCTTTCTCAGCGTATCTTCATACACGAGGTGCTCCAGTCCCCTAATCGTCCTTGTGGCCCTCCTCTGGACTTGTTTTATGCTTTCTACACTTACAATATCACACTGAGTTACAGTGGTTATTGATTGGTTACACTGTGATTTTTGAAGCTGGATGTGCTCAACAGTCCATGGGTGTTTTCATGCAGGAGGAAACCAAGGAGCAATGTTTAGTGTATGTATTTGGAAATACATTATTAGAATAAGGTTTGAAATTATGCTGCTTTTTTTTTTTTTAATTCATAAGCTTGCTATTCATTCTCATTTACTAATGTGCATTCATTTTCAAGCAGCTTCTCTGGCAAATAAAGAAGATTGCCCCACACAAACCAATACATTATTAATATTGGTCTGGTTGGGCTTGGGTCAGTGGACCTCTACTACTGCAAATAGAGCTGTAGAGAGAATGAACTACAATAGATCTGTTAATGGATTTTTAAAGTATTTATGTAGTGGACAAGACATACCAAAGTACTGAATAGTGTGTCACACATTTCATATTAATGTGTTTCTTTTCTGGCTTTCACCATCTTTGGAACAATTGGAACCACCCACATGCTTGCTCTTTTATTTAGAATTATCCAACATGATACCCTAAAATACAATGGAAGTTGTTCAGTGAAATATATTTATACAAGTTGGATATATAAACTTGAATCAAATTGATTGGAGGACTTTTGACTCCTCCTGACTTGATACCGCATTAAATCAAAGGATTAAACCTTCTCTCCAGACATGGCTTCAGGCTATTGCATCTGTGAAAAGACAGCTTGTGAGTGTTGAAAGCCTAACAGATCTATCATAGCTATATACTTGACTCCACCCAGAAGTGGATTAAGCCAGGGAATTCAAGCTAGGTAGGTTTATGGATAATCTTATTTAGACAAAGTCTGAGACAGGCTTCTGTCAGTTCCTATTATGAACCAACTTTAAATCTCTTGTTTTCTGGAGGCGCATATGATTTCTGCTTTGCTAGTTACTGATCATTACAGCTCTGTGAAGCTTGAAAAGGTTATGGCATGAGGGGTTTCAGGACCTACACTTAGCATTTTCTATTCACATATTCTTGCAGTGCATGTTTTTTTGTGTTTAAATTTGAGGGTTTTGATTTTTCAGTCTTGGGTTAGGGTGAGAAGATTAAATGCAAGAAATATAAAGTATTCATGTTTCCCCAACTTTCCCAGTAGTCAGCAATCTGAACATGCTACACAATGCCAAGAATGCAGAGATTAGCAATCATATAAGACTGACATAAGCTTTTTTGAATTAAGAAAAGCTGTTCCAAATGATTATCCTTCTTCAGATATGTTGTTCAAGACATATTGCTTAGCCTAAATCTCTTTTTTAGATTCTGGGGATAAAATCAAAACTGATTTTCTTGATTTTGGGGCGGAGGGAAGGTTTTGTTACAATCTTGATATAAGATTGGATAATGCGTATTTAGGTTCCTTTACATCATACAGGGTACATAAACTGCACAATAGTGGGAAGAATTACAGCTCACAGTCGTGCAGCCACAGTTCCTTCCCTGTAGTTTTTCCTAATGTGCATTTGGAAGGTAGAGGTAAGGATACCATGTCATTTTCTGACTGTTCTATGCAGGCAGTAAGTCTGACCCACTGCTGACTGGTGGACTGCATAAAGATATGAGTAGTAAATGATAAGTAGTAGGGAAATCAATAAAAGCAACCTGCATAGTTCTGTTCATCATGAAAGATCTCAAAATTATTTCACATGTGTGTGAAAATGTACAAAGTACTTGTGCTAGTAATTGTTTGGAAGCAGCTTTCTAGAATAGCTTCATAAAATATTGCTGTAATAAGTAAATATGCATGCAAAAATTTTAGTAGTCTTGTTAACATTTATACTAGTTTACTACAGTACAGTATTTAGCGGGTGCATGCTCTGAATCTTTTCTCTTTCTGTGACGGCAATTTTCCTTAGGGGGGAAAAGCAAACTGACGTGTGCAGGAATTCTGACTCGTCCATCACACATGTAATGTGGCTAGAGAAACTAAATTAATAAGGTGAGTAGTGATATGAGATCACTGCCACAAGGTCTACTTGATTACTGCTGGGTTTATTTGGAGGAAGATGAATGGAAGGGAAGTACCTAAATGATGTGGAAAATGCCAAGATGGCTCTTAGCTCTCCCTTTTCTTATATACACCAGAAGGACTGATCTCTATCCAAGTAGGTGTTTGACCCTAAAGCCTGAATACAAATTCTCTCCGTTACTTGCAGAAGGTATGGCCTGCATTAATCATGAAGGTAGGCAGGATTACCCTAGGAAAAAAAAAAAAAGATGGTGCTGCTCATAGAAGCTTTTCCTAGATAAGGAAATAAGTGGAACTATTGTCTTGGAAGAGCTGTTCTCTTGGGAACAGCCTACCTTGAGCTAAAATTGAAAACCTTACAAAAAAGTTCCATTCAGATCCATCACAAATACCTATAATAACATTAGGAAAAGACTGGAATCTGGACAGTACTGAAAAAAAATAAATCTTGAAGTCAAACTACACTTAGTCCATCCTGCAGTCAGGATAGAACACATTCTTCAGTAGTGTGCATCGTGATCATCATCATCACTTAAACAGCTTGGGGCCTGTTTGTGAACAGCGGCTGCACATTGACACAGGCAAGGGCATATCACAATCTCCACAGATCTGAAACTTGAAACGTTTTCAGAGTTCTGCCTTTGCAAAGAACTGCAGGTGATGCAATGTGTTTAACACCAGTAAGGGTTGCTGTGGTTAGTAATGTATAGGTATGTGGAAGGGGAGAGAATCTGCTATGTTAAGATTATCCAGTCAAGGATTTTTAAATGCAGAGGGGATTATAAGTAAAGGGGTGTGTGATGCACAAGAACACACAGAAACACAGGTCTGATATACAATGCCAGAGACCAGAAATCTCCAGTCACTGACTGATGGGCCACTGAGAAACTCCAGGTGCAGCTTTGGAGGAGATTACCTGGACCTTCCAACTGATACAAAGGGTGAAACAAAAGAAACACGAAGATTTGGGGCATTAGAGGGGAAATCTGTGGGACTTTGCAAAACTTATGAAGCAGTGTTTAAAGGAAGGGGATTGGTAAGGGGGCAGTAAGGAAATGCTTTTTTACTGTGAGGTTGGTTGGGCACTGGAACAGGTTGCCCAAGGAAGTTGTGGTCTCTGAAGATACTCAGAAGCTGTCTGGACATGGTCCTGGGCAAACAGGCTTTGCATGCCCTGGCTGAATAAGGGGAAGCTGGACCACGTGACCTCCAGAGGTCCCTCCCAGCCTTAACCATTCTGTAACATACATGAAGGAGTATAAAAGAGGCTGGATGCATGTAAGAAGTGGGGGCAGCAGGCACCTCTAAGTTCCTTTACCATGTAATAGTCTTGTTATGGTGCACAAGATTAAAACATATTAATGGGGTTTTCACGTGACAAACAGCTGCACATCTGTGCATAGTAACCTGCATTCATTGGATGTTAAGTGAGGGTCTTCTGAGTTCATGTGATGGTAAGCAGACAAAATTATTCAGGAAACTGCAATATTCCTGAATTTTGGCAGGGTTTTTGTTGTTCTAGGTGTTTCTGACAGTCAAAGGTTAAAAAAAGGTTATAATGGAAAACAATTTGGTTAGTGATTATAAAAAACATGGTAACACAAGCAATTTTGCTACCCTAGTTAAGGAAGGAACAAGAGCAACCTCAGGAAGGCAGGAGGAATACAGCGAACAACTGAAAAAGATCATAGAAGGGTTAAGGGTATGATGAGTGGCGTCATACTACTCTGAGCACACTAATAAGCCTTAATGTCCCTGCTCAGCCTCACTTTGGGCTTCCATCCACACCCATCAGCCCAGGAGCTTTATTTAATTTCACCACAAGGCCTCAATCTCTGGGCTATATTTGGAGGCTGAGATCAGAACTGAGGCCAGGACTACGGGTCTCCAGCCCAAACATACCCCTGTTTAGATATGATGCCTCTTGATGCAGATCTCAACCAGTGGGTAGGGCTCCTGGCTTGACCGACCTGATCTTAAGCCTGATCTATGGATTAACTTCCTGCCTTGGCCTAGGACATGCCTCGTCACCATGATCTTGTCTCGCAACCTATCCTCTTGGTTGGACCTGGCCACTAGCTCCAGCTCCTGTTAGCCTCAATGATCCTACTGGCTGTGCTATTGTTCTGATGGAGCCCAGTGACAGCACCAGGTGCAGTGGATGCAAACTGTAATACAGGAGGTTCCCTCCGAGCATAAGGAAAGAGGGCTTTTATCTGTGAGGGTGACCAAACACTGGCACAGATAGCCCAGGGATGTTAAACATCCTTGAAGATTTTTAATCTGGATACAGTCCTGGGCAATTGGTTTCAAGCAGTCCAAGGAAAGGAAAGGACCAGAGTTTTGAACATGAGGCTGCAAAAGTCCATCTATGGAAGGCCTCATCCACTTGGTCTTCCTGAGCAGGTGACCCCCACTGCAGTGTCCTCTGTCCCTGCCCTTCCTTTAATTCTGATCCATGAGCTATCAGTGAGCTCCTCATCCATTCCCAGGAAGAGCTCTACACATGCCAGCTGGTCACTGACACAGAGAGTGATGCCCCCTCCACTTCTTCCCTGAGACCCATTATTCAGTAGGAAAGAATGTAAAATACTGGATATATGCAGAAGGTAGATGTGGCCCATTCTTTTGGGTTTTGGTTTTTAAGCTTTTTTTTTGCCTTTGTCTTTGCACATTGAAAAGAGAGGTATATAGACTTCTAACGCTTGCCAGAGTAAATCTCTGGTGCATGCTTAAACAAGTCAGTGTAATTTGGAAACCTTCGTAAATACCTTTGTGGCTAACAGAGGATTAATGTGGTCACAGATAACTGGTAAAAGCAAATACAGTATTCATTTTTAAAATGAGAGAAAGAAATAAAAGCAACCAGGGAGTAATAACTGGGCCAGACTCACTTTGATAAAAGATACTAGAACAAACAGTTAAATGAGTAACTTGAAATTATTCAAAAGAAATGCTAAAATTTACTTAGGATTGTAAAGAGTAATTCATGTCAAATCAATCTGTATTCCAGTATTATACAGATTAACTTGCTTTGTGAATGAAAGGTACATAGATTTGATATACTGCAACTTAAATAATACACTGAGCTTTTACTTATCCATTCTAATACAACACACCTACTCAAAACTGGGCCAAAGACTTTACTATTCTGCCCAGCAGTGGCTAAGAGGTGTTATATACTGTGTGATCTCTGCAGCTCCTGCAGTGCAGAGCGTGTCTAACTTGGTGAGTAGCAGGGGTACTCAGTGAGCTAATTGCAAAGTTCACATTCCTCCTGCAGAAGGTAATCATGTGATAAGCAGTTGGCTGCATGTGGGACACGTGTGCTGCCCAACTATAAGGCATACTTCCTGATTAAATTGTCAGTGACAGTCAGCAGCTATGCAGAAGGCTTATACATCCACCTACAGCAATCATTACTGCTATAGAGAGTGGCCTGAATGTTACTGGAGGGATCCAGGAGACAGCAGATAATGTTGAATAGGGAAGTACGACAGAACGTGCTGGCAGGGCATGATGGTGTATGGTAGACAATGCTAGGTTATGTAGTTTACTGCAGCATCAAGTAGGAATAGTTCAGTATTGAAAGCTGGATTCTTCAGTGACCTTCCTGCTCCTCTGGTTTGACGGTGCATGCCATAGGCAAACTAGGGAAGTATAATCTATGTATAATTGCAACAAAATAACTGCACACTCTATCTCTCTTTCTCCTAAAGAGTACTTGTCAACACTTTTTATCAAGCGGGCAGGTCATACTAATGGGCAAGGTTCCGTCCTAAACTCAACTCTGTTCAGTGTTTTAGTTAACAGTTACAATGATGGATTAAAGGCTGGTTTTCAGTATTTTATAGGTATCATTATGCAAGGAGAAGAGATTTCAAGAACAGTGACAGACATGACAGATGCTAAATGCATTGCTGACTAATTGGAAAGAATTCAGAATTAGTTAAGTAAATAAAATTAAAAAGAATGCTGTATATATCTAGGAGAATTCAAATGTAAAAAACACAAGGAGGGAAGACTGGCTGGGCAGAAATCTGTGCTTATACGAATTAAAATCCTGTGAGCTAATATGAGAACATTTCATTATGGAATGCATATTAGCAAAAGACAGTTATTAGATGCAATAATAATCAATGTTCTTTCAGAGAAAAGGATTCCCAAAATCTCTTGATACAAACTTGATAGCAAAAAGTGGTTCCTGATATTTTCAAGTTCATTGATTTGTACGCGTGGAACAGAATTCTGACTGTATGAACTGGGTACCATGTGTTTCTCCAAGATAAATACATTGACATTTTAATCCTTTTTTCTGGAATTACATTTGATGGGAAAGAAATATCCAATATGATGTTCATTATTACCAGTGAGTTGTTCCTGCATGTAAACACTGACAGTTATCTATTCACGCAAAAAACCTTCATTTGATAGTATTACCAACACTTCTTTCACAGTCACTTGTATAAGCCAATCTTTGATGACATTTAGAGACTACCCAGAACAGACATTTGTCCATTTGTAAGTGTAACTCACAGCAGAAGTATAACAGAAGTAAATCTGTTTATTTGATGGATGTTTGTAGACTCAGATACTCTTGATCCGTATAGTGTAAGTTGCTTTGTTTGCAAGCTATCAATAGGAAGAAGGGTAAAGTCTGTCAGAGTTTGGAAGGAGTATAGATTAGCCAGTAAAATTCAATTTTGACCACATCCATTTTAAGATCTTCAGTGAATTCATATTTAGTCAAACAGCACTGAAGATCTGGGATCGGTATCTCACACATCCTTCTGTTTCTCCTGATACATTTATGGTTGTCAGTGTTTTCACTCTGCTCAGTTTCATTATGTGTCCCAAGCTTACAGTCAGTGATCTCTTTAACTTTGGGATTAATCAAAATTATTTTTCTTCACATTGTAACATACTAGAAGACAATAAAGCCATCATCTCTTTCTCAGGTAAGAAATAGTGATTTCTTAACTCTGTAGGCCAAGTGTTTGATCATCTGCACGAATACTCCTTCGTTTGGGCCAGTTACAAAGTAGAAGCACTACTGTTAAATACTATCACTAGAACTGTCTTCTCTCTTTGATTTAAAGGATGACCTAACAGCAGTGATTCATACTCATCACAGAGTTTAAGATATGAAGGGATTAGAGGCCAGGTAACCTAGCACTAAACATTAGGCCTTCCAAATGCCAAGGGCATATGCACTGAAAAGCCCTCCGTTAGGCAGATGCAAACTGAAGACCATTTTGTTGAGACTTGTATATTTTGGCATTGCTGGGTGAAACTCTCTGGCTTTGGTAGTTTCACAGGATTTTGCTTTGGTTTGGTTTTGCTTACAAGGAAAATGATGGGAAGAAAACCAGAAAGAAAAGTTCTAATAAATGCAAAAGTACCATTAAATTGCATTGCAAGACTGCTGATCCTCAAGAATGGCACACTGCCTAGCTGGGCTCTAATGAAGGAATCTAATTCAGAAGTTATAATCCAGACTTTTAAGAATGTAAAAATATACCTAAAGAGACCTAATATATTTGCTTTGTCCACTGCTCTGTAAAATGAGAATTGTTTCCTACAGTTTATGGCCTTACATTGAAGTCATATCTTCCACTAGTAAATGCTTCAAAGCCACTTCAACAGTGGGTGAAAAATAGTTGTCACTTTATAAAACCAAAATGGAAGGAAGGAGGCTGGACATCAGCAACTCTTTCTTCCCCTAGTAGAAGTATACAGCGTAATTTCCTGATAGCAGAACTGTGTTTAGAAAAAATATCAAATTCAACACTTCAGAAATCTCATTTCCTACATGAGAAATTAATTCATGTCATGCTGATATTTTGCTTTACCAAGACTGAGTTAACTGAATAGGTGTACAGAATATCACATCGAAGGCAGACAAGGAAAAGAGGAAAAGGAATCATTGTTTCAGTATAAGCCCTCTAATTTTCCAGAAGTTTTTTGTCACATTCACAGTGTATTTTTAATGCTCATGTTAAGTTAGGACCCACTACCCAGCCAGTGGAAATGTGACAAATGTGCTTTTCTCCAGGGTTACGTCAAGCTAGCTGAATGCTGCTATACTTCAGTCAGACATGACATTACATCAGTCTGTTTGGTGTAACATTATGTGGGAAAAAGCAAGCTTCATTTGAGACAACACAGAATGTGTGCCTTTGGCAAATTTCTTAAAGGTCACATAAAAGCATTTTGATGTAATTATAGATCTGGATACTGGGAAGAATTAGTTCTTTCCATAAGCACTCCGAAGGGTC